TTTATAAAACTAACTATTTATGAGGCATTTCTGGATTTTTTTCTGGCTAGCACTCTTCGTTGATTTTTAATTGAAATTCAAAGTGCAAATGGGAGACTAATCTCCCAGTTTAAGCTTCTAGGGTTAAAGCGCGTGTAATGGTTTTATCAATTAACCTTGCTTTTATAATATATTTTACGTTTAATTGTACAGTTTAGAAATAATGTTCTTTTATTAATTAACAATAATAAATAATTTATTTAATTTGTATGTTTATTAGTAACTACACAATATTTTGACATTTATATTATTTTATGAATAATTGTTTAAATATAAATTTATACAATAAGACACACAAATAATCCGTATATCACCCTTACAATAGGCTAACTTTAAGCATAAAAGTAAATAACCCGAGTAGTCGAATAACAATGAAATTTCCTAAATGGTAAATGTCAATTATACTTAACAAGTTAAACACAATAATAATTATGACAATTTATCATGCAACATAATGTACTGTACATATTAAAAATGTTGAACAAATTTATTAATCAGTAACAATTTTCCCAAATTAATTTTGTTTATATAAAAACACAGTTGAATTAAAAATGAGAAATAATTAAGAAATACAACTTTTTACCAATTTTATTTTAATTCATGATAACATGGTTTCCAAATTAAATGAATTAATTTTTATTTGATAGATGAATTGCAATGTTATTATTAATTATAACTTTTATTATTGTTTTAAAAATAACATTTAGTATTATACAAATATTACGCCACTCTATGTAAATTACATAATGTAATTAAGATTTGTTCAATATTTCATTACAAATATGTATTATTTTTTGATAAAATAGGAATTTTTATTAATTATTATATTTCAAGCAATTTCAAAAACATAATGGCCAAAAACGAATTAATCTAAATGAATTATAAAAATTAATTTATTTTAAGTTAACAAATGACTAACAAATAAAATACTTAATTACCTCATAGCAGCGAAAATGATCAATCATAAACAATTTCCAACATGAAAATCCTACTCGCTTTATAGCCAAACGTTCAATAAATACCGTTATCTATTAAATAAAGTTAATTGTAAAAATTCTAATTCAATAAATTTGTTCAAATTATATAATATTATTACTTTATAGCGAATAATCACATGATTTGTGGGCATTTTGCACATCACAGACGCTAACAGTTTGTATGTTTTGTTTGCCTCGTAATTAACGGCTGAAACAATAACTATATTACAAGCAAACTGTGAAATAGTGGTCATTATTGGGAAACCGACGATAATTCTGTTATAAACATCCATCGATGGGTTGGTTACCAGTGAATAGATTGCGGTAATAAAATTGCAACTCAATAGCAACCATATCGACAGCATATACTTTGACCAATAGGTAGTATTGTATTCACTGATTTCACTATAAATTAAATTTAGCCTGCGTAAAATGCTGTAACAACGTCTCGGGTTTTGATATATTTTAGATTCACTTAATAGACAATTAATTGTTCGCAATTTATGTGTTAAATACATCGATATAAAATATAAATAAAGTAATAGCCATAAGCCAATGCAATATCCCATATAACCGGCTATACCGGTAAATATGGTGTTGGGTATACCATATAATACAACATCTTTTAGTGTACACCTCATGATATACGGTACAAGGCTGGCTAAAAATGACCAGGCTATTTGCCTGTTTACAACATGATCGCAAAGCCTAAATAAGAATCTTGCTCGTTTAATGATTTTGAGCATAAAATCATTATCATATAAGTTAATAGATGCTGGGCTGCTTCGTCCGGCCAACATTTTGAACAGGGACATAAATGCAGGCTTAATGACATTTAAGTAGTTATACATAAATATTAGTAGAAAGCAAATAACATTTAAACCCCACGTAATAAGCAATAGATTAAATTTATAGTCGGCGCCCATTAAGTAACCAAAATCGCCGTAATATATAAATAATTGCGTATGTGCTCGGTCAAATAATAGTGGTAATGATGCCCGCACAATAAATATTACCATCACTGTTAATCTTAATACAGGTGCCATAAAAATGGCACGTTTTTTAATGTTTTTGGGTCTTGGTACAGACAAACCAATTTTATACAGTATTGCATCGCAATCCTTAATTGCAATGTTTTCGGGTAAAACTTTGTTTAGGTCAATTTCAATCATGGTAAGCAATAAAATATTTTATCAATTTTATTAATTCTATTTATCCAAAATGATAAAGATTAATTTTTTTAATTAGCATACGCTTATGCTTTATATGTGGCTTAAAGTTTATTTATTAGAAACATTTATTTACCAATTATAATTAATATGTTAATAAAGCATTTATATTGGTATTTATAAGTTCATATGACCATCGTACTTTAAAAAATATGTTTATACAATAATTGCACTATGTTATTAATCCACGGCCGTAATGATTGTTAATTTGTTTATTAGGGCACGTGTAGTGGTTTTATCAATTAACCTTGCTTTTAGAATATATTTTTCGGTTAATAATAGACGTTTAGAAATAATGTTCTTTAATTAATTATTAATAATAAATTATTTATTTAACTTGTATGTTAATTAATAATTACACAATATTTATATTAAAATCTATATTATTTAATGAATAATTGTTTAAATATAAATTTATACAATAAGACACACAAATAATCCGGATATCACGCTCACGATAGCCTAACTTTAAGCATTAAAGTAAATAACCCAAGTAGTCGAATAACAACAAAATGTCCTAAGTGGTAAATATCAATTATAGTTAACAAGTTAAACACATTAATATTTATGACAATTTATCATGCAACATAATGTACTGTATACTGTATATAAAAAATGTTGAACAAACCTATTAACCAGCTACAATTTTTCCACATATCATTATCATCAACACGATACCGATCAAGTACTAGGTTTAGTTGCCCGTCGGCGCACCGGTCATAGCCATAGATAGCGATGATTATAGCGTAAACCGTGAATCTAGTGTATGACATATGACTCGCTTTACGGGTAAACCAATCAGCAGTTGTGAGTCTGATTGCAAAACCATTAAATAAAACCATAATCATATATAAGCCAATGCCCACGGTCACTCCCAGTCGTATTTTATGGGAAAATATTATACCGATTAAACTACCGACACTGTTGGCAATACACAAACTGCCCATCTTTGAGAATAAAATCATTTGTAATTAATATTATAAACAAGGTTTACAATCAATTTGCCAATAATCAAAAACTATAAAATTATAAACAAAATTCTGATTAATATATTCTGTTTAAATATGCTTTCTGAATAAATAACCTCGATGTAACTTTATATAAATTATCATTTTTAATGCTATTAAAGCCAGCTGTACTGTATGTAAAATGTAAATTTAACAACTTGCAACATTTCAAGAAAATATTAATTAAATACACAAACCAAAATCTACAAAAATAAGTAAATTTTAAATAATATGCATATCATTAATTACCACGACCATGGAATAGTACGCCCAACGAAATGCGTCAGCTTCCTGATGGCTGATGAAAAAAATCATGGTCGCATAGATGAACGCCATTAACATTATAACAGGCAAATCGATTATAGATTTGCTCCAATAGTAGGCGCCGGTTGAGTACCACCCGTTGCGGTGTTCGTTGAGAAATACGCGCACTTCTACGGGGAATACTAGTAAACTGCTGGCCATTGCCATATAGCCGACGGCAATCTGGCCAAAAAACAAGAGCTTCACGTTTTCGGTCACTGCGGCCTCTTTGGCCGCCAATGTATAGGACGAGTGCGTCGATTGGGTGCTATTGGTGTGGGTGTTGTCGACACAGACAGTGCGTTCACCGACATCAAAGTCGTATAGATAGCTGAGCGCTACGGATATTAGCATACAAAACAAGCAGGCCATCACGCTCATCATCCAGTCGTATTTGATCTACATACATTTTGGTGCAGTGCACAATTTGATTGTTAATAATGTTACTTTCTAAATAAATATGACTCTTTCATTGTGATGAGTTATTATTAAATTGCAATATGCATACTTACAAAACGCACTATCCCACGTAATGTCAAGTAATATAAGTGATAGAAATTAAACCACAATTGATTTCCAGGCATTGACTTTGAGATTAATTGTCCGTCTCGTCGACACTCGTCTCGGATCTCATTTGACGCGCGCTTTGTTTTCTCAATTAGTCTATCGATAGCGTCGCCAGAAGTCTCGTCAATGCGTTCGGCGAACTAATTATTAAATTTTTCATTTTAAAAATATATTTTAACATATAAAACATGACACTAATAATAATTGAGTAAATTTTCAACCTATAAATCACAATTTTTTACACAGCTGAAATTAACAATGTTTATAAAATAGTTAGAGCAAAATAAATTAACCTCGATAGATCTCTCAATATGCCCGTATCCAACTGTCAGCAGTGCTTTATTCGGAAAGTTTGATGCAATTTTTAATATGAGTTCAATTGGGGCAAAATGTGAGGGACATTCGATGCCGCAGCTGTTGAGATGTGCCCTGAGCTGAGTGGGCGGTCCGGCAAACACACAATGACCGCCCTTTGAGAGGACGTACAACCGGTCAAACATCGCCAGTATTAGTGAGTTTGGCTGATGTATTGACGTCACGATTGCCATCGAGTGTTTCTCTGTCAGGCGTTTTAAACACTGGATTACCTAAATATTTGCCCCAAATTTATCTACATTTAGACGTTATAACCAGTATTATAAATATTAATTAAAACAATAAATACAATTTCAGATGAATTGCTGTCTAAACCACTGGTCGGTTCGTCAATGCATAGGAGGTTAGGCTTGATTTGTTGGACTAACTCCAGGCCAACAGTTAGGCGCTTCTGTTCGCCACCACTGCATCGCTGGACAGTTGTGTCCGCGCAGTCCTCCAGTAGTAGTTCAGACAATAGACGCCTCNATTGTCTGAACTACTACTGGAGGACTGCGCGGACACAACTGTCCAGCGATGCAGTGGTGGCGAACAGAAGCGCCTAACTGTTGGCCTGGAGTTAGTCCAACAAATCAAGCCTAACCTCCTATGCATTGACGAACCGACCAGTGGTTTAGACAGCAATTCATCTGAAATTGTATTTATTGTTTTAATTAATATTTATAATACTGGTTATAACGTCTAAATGTAGATAAATTTGGGGCAAATATTTAGGTAATCCAGTGTTTAAAACGCCTGACAGAGAAACACTCGATGGCAATCGTGACGTCAATACATCAGCCAAACTCACTAATACTGGCGATGTTTGACCGGTTGTACGTCCTCTCAAAGGGCGGTCATTGTGTGTTTGCCGGACCGCCCACTCAGCTCAGGGCACATCTCAACAGCTGCGGCATCGAATGTCCCTCACATTTTGCCCCAATTGAACTCATATTAAAAATTGCATCAAACTTTCCGAATAAAGCACTGCTGACAGTTGGATACGGGCATATTGAGAGATCTATCGAGGTTAATTTATTTTGCTCTAACTATTTTATAAACATTGTTAATTTCAGCTGTGTAAAAAATTGTGATTTATAGGTTGAAAATTTACTCAATTATTATTAGTGTCATGTTTTATATGTTAAAATATATTTTTAAAATGAAAAATTTAATAATTAGTTCGCCGAACGCATTGACGAGACTTCTGGCGACGCTATCGATAGACTAATTGAGAAAACAAAGCGCGCGTCAAATGAGATCCGAGACGAGTGTCGACGAGACGGACAATTAATCTCAAAGTCAATGCCTGGAAATCAATTGTGGTTTAATTTCTATCACTTATATTACTTGACATTACGTGGGATAGTGCGTTTTGTAAGTATGCATATTGCAATTTAATAATAACTCATCACGATCAAAGAGTCATATTTATTTAGAAAGTAACATTATTAACAATCAAATTGTGCACTGCGCCAAAATGTATGTAGATCAAATACGACTGGATGATGAGCGTGATGGCCTGCTTGTTTTGTATGCTAATATCCGTAGCGCTCAGCTATCTATACGACTTTGATGTCGGTGAACGCACTGTCTGTGTCGACAACACCCACACCAATAGCACCCAATCGACGCACTCGTCCTATACATTGGCGGCCAAAGAGGCCGCAGTGACCGAAAACGTGAAGCTCTTGTTTTTTGGCCAGATTGCCGTCGGCTATATGGCAATGGCCAGCAGTTTACTAGTATTTCCGGTCGAAGTGCGCGTATTTCTCAACGAACACCGCAACGGGTGGTACTCAACCGGCGCCTACTATTGGAGCAAATCTATTATCGATTTGCCTGTTATAATGTTAATGGCGTTCATCTATGCGACCATGATTTTTTTCATCAGCCATCAGGAAGCTGATGCATTTCGTTGGGCGTACTATTCCATGGTTGTGGTAATTAATGATACAAACTTTACATATTATTTAAAGATTACTTATAATAAGCTTTAATTTGTGTATTTATCAGAATTTTGTATATAATTTTATAGTTTTTGATTATTGGCAATTGAATTTTAAACCTTGTTTATTATATTAATTACAAATGATTTTATTCTTATAGATGGGCAGTTTGTGTATTGCAAACAGTGTCGGTAGTTTAATTGGTATAATATTTGCCCATAGAATACGACTAGGAGTAACCGTGGGCATTGGTTTATACATGATAATGGTATTGTTTAATGGTTTTGCTATCAGACTCACGACTGCCGATTGGTTTACCCGTAAAGCGAGTCATATGTCATACACTAGATTCACGGTTTATGCTATAATTATCGCTATCTATGGCTACGACCGGTGCGCCGACGGGCAACTAAACCTAGTACTTGATCGCTATCAAGTTGATGATGATGATATGTGGGAAAATTGTTGCTGGTTAATAGGTTTGTTTAAAAATATTTACTTTAAAATACATTATGTTTTGTAATATATATATATATATTTATAGTTATGATTATTATTGTGTTTAACTTGTTAAGTATAATTGACATTTACCACCTAGGACATTTTATTGTTATTCGACTACTCGGGTTATTTACATTGATGTTTAAAGTTAGGCTATCATGAGCGCGATATACGGATTATTTGTGTGTCTTATTGTATAAATTTATATTTAAAAAAATTCATAAAATAATATAAATGTCAAAATATTGTGTAGTTACTAATTGACATACAAATTAAATAAATTATTTATTATTGTTAATTAATAAAAGAACATTATTTCTAAACTGTACAATTAAACGTAAAATATATTATAAAAGCAAGGTTAATTGATAAAACCATTACACGCGCTTTAATAAACAAATTAACAATCATCAGGCCGTGGAACATACTGCAATTATTGTATAAACATATTTTTCTAGAGTACGATGGTCATGTGAACTTATTATATCAATATAAATGCTTTGTCATCATTTTAATTATAATTATTAAATAAAAGTTTTTAATAAATAAACTTTTAGCCATTTATCATTGAGCATAAGCGTTTCATAATCATTTTGGATAAATACACCGCCAAATATTTTATTGCTTACCATGATTGAAATTGACATAAACAAAGTTCTACCCGAACACATTGCAATTAAGGATTGCGATGCAATATTGTATAAAATTGGTTTATCTGTACCAAAACCCAAAAACAGCCCAAAACGTACCATTCTTATGGCACCTGTATTAAGATTAACAGTGATGGTCATATTTATCGCTAGAGCATTATTACCACTATTGTTTGACCGAGCACAAACGCAATTATTTATATATTACGGTGATTTTGGTTACTTAATGGGCGCCGACTATAAATTTAATCTATTGCTTATTACGTGGGGTTTGAATGTTATTTGCCTTCTACTAATATTCATGTATAACTATTTAAATGACATTAAGCCTACATTTATGTCCCTGTTCAAAATGTTGGCCGGACGAAGCAGTCCAGCATCTATTGGCTTATATGATCAAGATTTTATTTGCAAATTTACGAAACGGGCAAGATTGTTATTCAGGCTTTGCGACCATGTTGTAAACAGGCAAATAGCCTGGTCATTTTTAGCTAGTCTTGTACCATATATCATGAGGTGTACACTAAAAGATGTTGTACTATATGGTATACCAAACACCATATTTACCGGAATAGCTGGTTATATGGGATATTGTATTGGCTTATGGCTATTACTGTACTTATATATTATATCAATGTATTTAACACATAAATTGCAAGAAATTAATAGTCTATTTAGTGAATCTAAAATATATTTAAACCAGAAACATTGTTATAACATTTTACGCAAGCTAAATTTTATTTACAGCGAAATCAGTGAATATAATAGTACCTATTGGTCAAAGTATATGCTGTCGATATGGTTGCTATTGAGTTGCAATTTTATTACAGCAATCTATTCATTGGTAACCAACCCATCGATGGATGTTTATAACAGAATTATCGTCGGTTTCCCAATAATGACCACTATTTTACAGTTTGCCGCAAATATAGCCATTGTTTCGGCCGTTAATTACGAGGCAAATAAAACATACAAACTGTTAGCGTCTGTGATGTGCAAAATACCCAGAAATCAAGTGATAATTCGCTATAAAGTATTAATATTAGAAATTAATTGATTTAGAATTATACTTGTAACTTTATTTAATAGTGATATTTGTTTTGTTTTATTTGCAGATTACGGTATTTATTGAACGTTTGGCTATAAAGAGAGTAGGATTTTCATGTTGGAAATTGTTTATTATTAATCATTTTCGCTGTTATGAAGTAATTGATTATTTTATTTGTTAGTTATTAATTAGTAATTTGCTTTTAATAAATTAATTTTTTTTTATCCATTTAGATTATTTCGTTTTTGGCCATCATGTTTTTGAAATTGCTTGAAATTTAATAATTAATTAAAATTTCTATCTCATCAAACAATAATACTTATTTGTCTTAAAATATTGAACAAAATTTAATTAGATAGATTGCCGTAATATTTGAATAATAGTAATTTAAATACTAAATGTTTTTAAAACAAATGTTAAATTCTTAAAACTCTAATAAATGTCATAATAATTATTAATAATTACATTAAAAAATTAAAATGTTTAATACACCTCTCAGATAGAAATTAATTTATTTCTTTGCTTTGCAAACCTTGTTATTTAGTAATTATACAAATTATCAAGAATAGAAAATTAATAATCATTGTTAGAAAAACATTGATAAAAAGTTTTATTTCTTATTTTAAATTAAAATTTGTCTTTATAAGAAAAATTCATAATATAAAGTTTTTTACAAATACTTTTCACATACTAAATATTGTTTGCTTTGAATATGAAGTTTACACAAGGGTACAATAATAATCTTAATGACCAAACAGCGTGTTACATTACTATAAAACAATATTATTTTTATAAAATATTATTTATATAGTTTATTTGCTAAAATATATTAAAGTTTTACTATTATATATTTTTAATTAGTACCATACTGTATTGTTATAGATATTATTAATTGTTTGTAAATATACAAATTATGTCCTAATCAAAAGTTCATATTGATAAATAAATGGCATTTCATTTGAATCTGTTCAATTGATGTGTTAAGGGGCTTTGCTATTGTCCATGTTTATTTGAGATATATTAAAAACTAGATAAAACTTATTACTAACAAATATTGAAAAATAATAAATAACAATAATAAAAAAATATAATAATTTAAAAATAATTACATGTAATGTGTATATTTATAACCGTGTAATTTATAAACAACTCATACAATATTCTTCATACAGTATGAATCATGCTTAATTATAATTTAAAAATCTTGATATATTATTATCAAAAGGCTATAAAAAATTACTTATTATATTAATTAAACTTGATAAAACTATTAAGCACTTTTGGACTTAAGTACTAATTTATTTAATTAAAAATAAACTAATGATATTTCGGTGTAATTATCATTTGGACTAAATAAGCACCAGTTTTTACTACTTTAATTAATGCTGGTCAAATTAAAAATATACGTATTATAATCTTAATAAAAAACAGTGACTATTTATAATAAGCTTCATTTAATAACATGAATGTGTCAAATAAACTACCATTTAAATTATTAGCAA